AAAAAGCAGCCACAGTATTCGCAGCCCTCGACCGTACAGTGATTGGTCAACTGTCGGAGGTTATAACTGCAATGCCGCAATCGGACCGATTCGAATACGTCAAATTGAAGATAATTGAACACTTCGATGACATTGAGCAGCGCCGCTTAAACCGGCTACTTTCCGAGCTTCCCCTTGGTGACAATAAGCCGTCGGAGTTATACTTCGAAATGAAGCGCGTGGCCGGAAGCACCATAGGCGAATCCGCATGGAAAAGCCTCTGGACCAAACGCCTTCCGGCATTTGCTCAACCAGTAGTTGCTGCCTCTTCAGGTACAGCGTCCGAATTCAGGAAAATTGCTGACTCCATCATAGACGCAGTTACGCCGCAGCATGTTCACCGTGTTGAATCAGGAGGTTCGAGTGTGATTAACCAGCTTCGCACATCTATAGAAGACTTGGGTAAGCGTTTGGATAGATTCTCCGTACGCTCACGCTCCCGCAATCGCCAGCAATCTACTAACAATTTCCGACCGGAAAGCTCAAGTCGACCCGACGTTCAAGGGAGTAAGCCGGGTTCATCCGCTTCATCCGCTAACTACCAATGCTGGTACCACCAAAAGTACGGAACAAATGCTCGCAAGTGTCGTAGTCCGTGTCGCTATAGGCACCGTGCAGCCAAAGCAGTAACTACAGAAAACCGAGAAGAATGACTAGTTCCCCGCAACACAGTAAGTCAGTGCAAATCTTTCACGCACCGTAAAATTTTCCGCTTGCAAGTAAAGGATCGTATTTCGAAAACAACGTTTCTAATCGACACCGGTGCCGATACGTCAATCCTTCCACTAACAACGCCCTCATATGATATCCGTCCTAGCGCCACGAAACTGTATGCTGCTAACGGAGCTGCGATAAAAGTTCTGGGGGAAAAGCGAATGAAGGTCGACCTTGGTCTTCGGCGGGAGTTCATGAGGTCATTTATAATCGCGGATGTCACGCAACCCATAATCGGGGCGGATTTCATTAAATTCTATGACCTTCTTATAGATATGCGTCGAAACAAGCTTACAGACAACACGACATCTTTGACAACAACACTATTGTCAACGAAAAAACACGACGCACCAGAACTAAAAACTTTTATAGTAGACGGCCTTTTTACCGAAATTTTATCCGAATTTCCAGAC